ACGCACCTGCCCGTCAACCTCGGAGCTGATGCGTTGGCAAGCTGTCTCCTCACCGACGCCATCTGACCCCCGAATGCGCCGTGGAGATGATGGGCGTAGAGTCCCGCAGGGGCCGCTCCTTGCTGCTCGAGCCGACGAGTGACGTGATATCGGCGAAGTGTGCGAGCATACCGAGGGATCTTGACCGACATCGCATAATGCTTGACGGCACGTGACCTTCGAGTTGCTCGACCTTGCCTGCAACCTCCACTCAAATCAGCACCGAGGTAGGGAGCTTGGCTGGCATACCTGAGCTTGTACCCGCGAGCTGCAATCCTGCGAGTGATGATGCGGGCATCATCGGTGTGGCTGCAGATCACGACGCTCTTGGGAGATATCTTCAGCCCTGCCGACTCCATGTTCTGGCAAGTGTCGAGGAGGCATCTGATCATCTGCCGACGCATCTCAAGTCTAGAGCCCCGAGCAACTTGCGACAAATCATCCACCCACAGCCGATGTGACATGTTCACGTGGGCGGTGGTGATCCTGGACATGATGAAATGTGTAGCGCATTTGCCGAACCTCGTTCCAGCTCTCAGCCCCTGCACGATGGAGCGCGTCGGGCAGAAAGAAGGTCCGTATGCACCTGACTGTCGAACACACCTCACAGCCATGCATTGCTGAAGCTCAAGTCCAAGAATCTCCGCGGGAAAATCCAAACGAAGAGCTGCTGCTGCGATACGATGCCAACCCACACTGTCGTAAAATTGACCTATATCGCATCATCCATGTCCGTGCGCGACTCCAAGCCGTCCTGCCAGTTCTTCGTCGACAGCCCGAAGAAAAACTTCCCGAACAGCTGCGTTGCCGCGCGCTGCGGCATCCCAGTGCGACTCGCACTCGTCCGTCCATGTTCTCACAAAACCTTCGCGCGATTGTGACCACATCCTTGCGAAATGCGAAAGGAGTCCTATAACTCGATATCCGTTGCTCTTCTTTGGTATTAATGTACCAATGGTGATCAGAATCTGATGTGGCCACGCTTGATGCTGTTCACATAGTGTGAGCAGTGCAGCCAATTCGGCCAGCGCAATGTCTGGCAGGCGGTTCACATCCGACGAACACAACCGATCAACACCCATCGCCGAACACCCATCGCCGAGGAGGGCCTCATACGTCGAAGCGCTGCACGAAGGTCGGCGACATCGATGGGCGGCAGTGCTTCCTCCTGGACGCGGCGCCTGATGACTCCAAAGAGGTCGAGCAACTGCTCATGATCCTCCCCCTGCGGGGCCCACAACTCACGCCACTGCTGGGTGTTATAATCGAGCACATCTCTTGGATGGATGAGCGTTCGATTACCAAGTTCGACTGAATCGGGAGCTAGAGGCGAGGACCTTATAGCCTTGTGCAGGGCGCTGACGGCTGGTGCCGACTCTGCCCAGTCACGAAATGAAGAAATAGAACGATGTATTGCTCGCTGCTGACTTCGCTTGGCAAGTCTGTTGGCGAAATCGCAGCCACTCGATAGGTCTGCCTCGGAGGGATCGCCTGATACCACCGCTTGCAGAAACAACTTCCACTGTGGCCAGGTGTGGGGATCCCGTCTCCGAAGTACTCGATGCGCCTCCTCAGGGATGGTCCTTTGGAGCGCGCCGACAGCCTGGATGAGGATGCCCTGCTGCTTGCGACCGTTGTCCCGACGGCGATGCTGAAGCAGGGCCGAAAGTGCGGTAGCTAGCCTTGTCCACCAGCCACAGACCTTATCGTGCAGCGGTTCCAGCCTCTGGGCCGTTGACTGCTGCGCCGTGCCGATACGAAAACTCGCCGCCTGCCCTCGCGACAAGGATGGAGTGGCCTGCTGGTGGTGGGCGTGGGCTGCCTCTTCCACCGTGCGGACCCAGCTACAATAAAGTGCACTGATGTGTGGGGCTGCCGAGTCCTGGGACGTGAGCCGGAAGGCTACGGAATCGGCAACAGCATCAGCAGGCAGGCAGGCGGCGCTCGGGACGAACCCGACGTTTTTCCTCGCTTGCACCCAAGTTTCACCGCTGACGGAAAACTCCACGGGGGACCCTGAGCTCACCGATTGAGACAACACCACTGAAGAGTGAGACCCGTGGACTTCTCCATCTGTAGGGCAGGGTGCTGTGCTCGGGGGGCGCTCGGTCTCCTGAGGCTGAGGTGCGGCTGTGTGAGACTCGACTGTGAGAGAGGCGTGCAAGGCAGGAGCAGGCGGGGCCGCGGGCGGCGCAACTGTAGTGAAGTTGCTCTCGTCGGCCCACGGGTCGTACTCGGAGATGTTGTCCCAATCGGTGGCGCGATGGCCGCTGGAGGCCTCCGAGGCCTTGTCGGTCTCGTCGTCTGTACCCTCCTGGCTCTCATCACCTACCTGCCGACGGGACTCTAAACCCTCTCCAAACCATTCTCGAATTTTCGCATGCCTCTTCTCACGAGCAGCCTGCCTAGCGAGGTCCCTCTTGGTCTTATTTACACTAGACTTGGACCCCTCGACCGCCTGCTTCGACGGTCTGGGGACTCGGGGAAGCCTCGGGGGGAGCTCGAGAAAGCGAGTGAAAAGTTGACTGCCAGTCGCCACTAACTCGATGGATAATCCGATGTGTGGTTTCCATGGGGCGGCACAGACGGCAGTGACAGCCCGAATGTACGCCCTAGCTGAAGGGCAAACCACGAGGTAGTCGAGGTGAGATGGCTTCTGATCCCCCCCAGGAGTACAAGTGAAATCGGCATTGTTACACAAAATCAGCCCCCCAGTGCGCTCCAGAAATCCAGTTTTGACCAGGGCGCTGGGGCTAAAATTCCAATCTGCAGCGATGATCCAGGGCAATTGCAAACTGGCGACAAGACTGGCAAGCTTACGAAACCGTGAAACATTCTGGTCCCGAAAACCTATAGACGAGTGTCCGTAGAACACGATGTAGACCAGGGAGAACCCTTTTAGGTGCAGGACCACAGGAAGAAACCCGTCAAAAGCCGAACCGCGATCTGCTCGCAATCCGCGTGCTGACTTCGCAGCGTCCAACACCTGAACAGGCAAATGATTCTTAGCATAGAAGAATTTCCCTCCTTCGCAGCTATGCTGATTGAGCTTGGCCTTTGGCCTAGCTGGATTGCCTAGAAGTTTGAGCGAGCATTGCTGGGCCTTCTTTTTCCAACCCACAACTGCTGCTGGCAAGGTGTGTGTCTCGCAAAGTGACATCTAATCATACGAAGAGCGCTGCAAGAGACGGATGTGCCCCCAAGCCTTATCACCCATGCAGCTCACGTTCGCAAAAAAAGAAAAGATGACCGTGCAGCATCACTCATAGTCGCTGTCGACGTCGAAGTGGTGGCTGCAGGTGGAGACGCAGTAGATGTCGCCATGGACGTACTGCGCTCCTCGGATCCCGAAGTTGTGATACCAGTACTCGTCGTACTGGGGGCCCCTGGCGCTTGCGAAGACGCCCTCGTAGTAGTTGCGGAACCTAGTCATGAAGCGGCGACCCCGTCGCCACTCTGCTTGGCGGCCTGGGCGACCGCCTCCTTCTCCTTGACAGCGGCCTCCTGCGCTGCGAAGCGTGCTCTCGACAGGCGCTCTGCCTCCTTCTTGAGTGCCTCGTCGTCGGCCTGGGTGGTCTCGGCGGCGGCTGCCCCCGCGGCCGCTGGGGGCGTGGTGGCCTCGCCCGCGCCCGCGGCTGCGGTGCCGATGCCGCCGCCGTCGCCAGCACTCGCGGCGGTGCCGTCAGCCCCGCGCCGCTTCTTGGCCATGCGCTCCTGCACCGCCTTCTGCTCGTTCTTGACGCGATCGACGAAGGACTTCCACTCCGCGTCCTTCGCCTGGATAGTGGTCCGATAGGCCTCGAGCTCCTCCTTGAGAGCCCTGAGCTTGGCCTTCTCCGCCTCGTCGCAGTCCCACTGCTCGAAGGAGGCGAAGAGCTCCTCGTTGAGATTGAGCCCGAAGCACGCGGCCTCGGAGTCGGCCTCCTTGGGCGACGGGAGAAACCCAGCACCCTTGGCGAGTGCTGCTGTGGCTGCCTTCTTGGTGGCGTCGCACTTGGCCACCTCCAGAGCCGCGCTCTGCTCCTTCTGCTCGGCTGTGGCCAGCTGCTTGCGCAGGCGCATGACCTGCTGGCCGTGCCTGTTGGTCGCCGCCTTGAGCGCCCCGTCGGCCTGCTTGACCTGGTCGACGTCCGAGGGTGCTGATGCGGCTGCCAGGCTGGCGAGCCGCTCCCTCTGCGCCTTCAGCACCGCCTTGAGCTCGGCGTCAGCCGACTGGGCCAAAGCCTGCTCCAGCAGCGCCGCGACCTCCTGCTGCTGGGTGGCCTTGCCACCTTGGCCGCCACGGCGGCCGCCTCGTGGGGTGCCCGCCTTGTCGTCCTCGAAGTGCACGTGTCGGCCGCCTCGCTCCGCACTGGGAGACCTCGACCGACTGGATTTGTGAATGAATAGCCGAACTTTGTGAGCACAACGTGGGCAACGATTGTCATTCGACTGCACGCGATCATTGTACTCGCATGTCTTGCAGTGGCTGCACCGCGACCATGCTCGAGACTGAACATTCTGTGGCTTGCTCATACTGATGCACTGAATTTTCCCAGCTCTCGTTATCCTCGACTGAATGCGGGGGGCAGACAGGTGAGGATATCCCTCAAGCGCCGCAGGAAGGCACTGGGATGGACCAGAACACTGGCCTCCGTCGGGGCGGAGGACTTGGTGCTCGAGCCCAAGTGGCTTGAGAGGGGGGGAGGAGGAGGAGGAGGAGGAGGAGGAGGAGGAGGAGGAGGAGGAGGAGGAGGAGGAGGAGGAGGAGGAGGAGGAAGGACAAGGCGGAGGAGGAGAAGGAGGAGGAGGAGGAGGAGGAGGACAAGGAGGACGGGAGGAGGAGGAGGAGGAGAGGAGGAGGAGGAGGAGGAGGAGGAAGCAGGAGGAAGGAGGGGGGAGGACAAGGAGGAGGGGGAGGCGGAGGCGAATGGGCAGCCGACTTGGATCTTCGGCCCCTTGCGACCAGCAGGCTGCTGCACGCCCCACGCCGCGTGCGGGCCGCCGCCGCTGCCCGAGCCGCCCGGCGGCCCGCCGCCGGCGCCGCCGCCGGAGCCGCCGCTGGCGCCGCCGCTGGCGCCGCCGCTGGCGCCGCCGCTGGCGCCGCCGCTGGCGCCGGCGTTGGCGCTGGCGCCGCCGCCCCGCCACGCAGCGTCGCCGCCCCACAGCGTGTGGTTGAAGAAGGCCCCAGCGAAGTTGGGCGGCATCGGGATGCCCTCGCGGGGGGCCCCCTCTCCGAGGGCGCGTCGTCGGAGGTCGTCGTCTTCGGGCCCCGGCTCCCCGGATTTTTGGTGTTTGGTTTTCCTCCTCCTCCTCCCCCTCCTCCTGCTCCTCCTCGTCCTCCTCCTCGCCCTCCTCCTCCTCCTCCTCCTCCTCCTCCTCCTCCTCCTCCTCCTCCCTCCCCTCCTCCCCCTCCTCCATCTCCTCCTCCTCCTCCTCCTCCTCCTCCCCCCTCCTACTTTCCCTCCTCCTCCTCCTCCTCAAACTGGTGCTTGACCTTCGTCGGAGATTGTCTTCGGGTCTTGATGTTCGGGTGCTCTCATCGGCCCTCCGGAGGTCTTCGGCTGCCCTCGTGGTGGCCAGAACGCTGCGGGAGGGCTACCTTCAAGAAGAGCCGCGGCACGCCGCCGCCTGGAGCCCGCTGGCGTGTCTCCTGTGTCGTTCTTTGTTCCAGGGAGCCTGGTGCTGCTTCAACAGTGAAAAAGGGGCCATCTTCAGGCAATCATACACGTTTTTGTTGCATGTCCGATATGTACTAGCAGAGTAGATTGTGCTACTGCTAATGCTGACAAACCATGGGCCCTAGTAACGCGCTGGAAGTGGAAACGTCTTGTGCAATTCCACAATCAGACCAACGCGGACCCACCTGCCCTCTCTGAATACCGTCACCGGTACTGTACTAGACAATGCTGATGCAGTGGTAGCTGGTGCCACTGCCTTGACGCCCACTTCGCTGTTTGAGCTCGCAAACATACATCGGCCCGAACTGTTGCCGGGCCGACCAACAAAAGATTCGTAAAATTACACTGGCCCGATGTACTGACAGGCCGACAAACGGAACCCCCGACACCACTCATCACAACCACGGCGTGCGCCGCGCGAGCCCCGCGAGAGGGATACAACGAGCCTCAGAGGGCCACGCGCGCGTCGGAGGGCGACGACGCAGCGGACGCATCCTCGCTGCACGACGCCTTGCCACCTTTGCAGGGCGGCCCCTCGTCCCCGCTGCCGTGGAGGGAGTTGTGCAGCAGCACCCAGCCCAGGAACAGGAGGCCGAGCACCGAGAGGGAGTCGGAGAGGGCGAGCGGCATGTCGAGCTTGCCGTCGGAGCCGCTGCTCGAGAACACGCTGAGGGTCGCGGGGTCGAAGCCGAACAGGATGGCGATGCCCAGGAGGAGGTCCAGGAAGGCGCCGCCAGTGATCATGCCCGCCGCGGCCAGGATGCACTCGTGCGTCTGCGAGCCCGGCACGCCTGTCGTGCGCTCGCGCATGCGCTCGCCCGCAAAGCGGAAGGCGGACCCGATGAGGATGCCGATGCCCGTGTCCGCGCCCAGGTAGAGGCCGACGGGGATGGACATGGCGGGCATCTGCACGCCGAGGCGGCCGCCGACGTAGTCGAGGACCACCGCGCAGGCGCCCACGCCCACGCCGATGAGGATGGGGTACCAGGGCAGCTCCTCCTCGATCAGCAGCCCCTGCACCAGGGTGGCGAACATCTTACCCTGCGGCGCCGGCAGCGCATCGGTGCCGAGGCCGTAGGCGCTGTCGGCGACGTAGAGGGACAGGGGCACCACTATGGAGCCGACCAGCAGGCCCAAGATCTGGGCCAGGAAGCCCTCGCGCGGGGCGACGCCGCACAGCTGCAGGGTCTTGTAGTCCTGGCTCACGTCGTTGGCGGAGCAGACGGCCACGCACGCCGCAACTAGCAGCGTCGTGATAGTTGGCACTGCGCCCACATCCCTCTGGCCAGTCGCGAGGGCCACCAGGCACAGCACCAGCGTGGTCACGAACACAGTGCCGGACACCGGAGAGCAGGAGCCTCCGATCTGCAGCGACAGTATCGCGCCCAGCGGCACCATCAGCGAGGCCATCACCAGGATGGCCACGACCATCAAGACGCTGAAGGCGCTGAAGCCCTCCGTGGCGAAGAGCCAGATGGCCAGGCCGAGGGCGCCGACCGCGACAGCGCCCGCCAGCACCCTCGCGTTGCGGGCCCCGATGTCGAGCAGCGAGTCCGCGCCGGTGCTCGCCTCGACGTCGCCCGCGGACTGCGCCGCACGGGGCCTGCGGATCAGGCCCGCGCCCAGGAACCTGGCGAGGCTGTAGGCCACGGCGACCGTCATGGCACCGCCGCCGACCCAGCGCATCGAGTTGGCCGGCATCTTCGCCGCCAGGTCCGTGCCGGGCTCGACGCCGGCCAGCAGGAAGTCCCCGACGAGGCGCACGAAGGAGCCGGTGAAGGTCAGCAGCGCGGTGGGCACCGTGAGCAGGGCGCCGATGCCGAGGTAGAGCGCGCCGCTGTCGAAAGGCACCAGCAGCTCGAAGGCGGAGCCGCTCGCGCCCTCCCTGGACCACACGAGGATGGAGCTGGAGGCCAGCGACAGGAGCGCCAGCACCCGCGTGACGAAGCTGCCAACGATGCTGAGCAGCAGGGAGACGCCGAGCCTGGGCCTGTGGCCGTCGTCGGCCACGGCGGCCTCGATCATCGAGACGCACGCCGTCGCCTCCGGCGCGGGCAGGGTCGGGTCGGAGAGGAACTTGCGCGTGGTGAGGCCGACGAAGCCCCAGCCGATCAGCGAGCCCACGAGGCAGGCCATGATGTTCACGGGCACGTCCACCTCTGGAATAGACAGGCCGTACTGCGCCATCAGGCTCTGGGCCTCGCCCCACGGCATCTCCGCCAGCTTCTTCTCCACGCCCAGGCGGTCCAGCTCATCTTGCGCGAAGTTGAGGTGCATGACCTGGAGCAGCGGCTCCGAGAAGATCACCCCGCTGACGATTGCCATGCCAGCGGAGCCGGCCACCTGGCTCAGGTTCAGGAAGCGCGATCCGGCTGGGCCCCTCGACGCCTTCCGAAAGGCACCCCAGCCACACAGCACCACCAGCGGGCTGACGCCTGGGGTGATGCCCGCCTTCAAGCCTGCCACCACCATCGTCGCCGACAGGATGAGCGTCACGAACAGGCCATAAGCGATGGCTTTCACGTCGCCACCGCACGCGTCTTTCATGCACGGGGCCATCATGATGGTGTGCACTTTCTGTGATCTGGCCCCGTGAAGGACGCGGCTGGACGTGCAAACGCAACAGTTCTTGAGGTAGGGATTCCTTGAGCCAAAATGGCTACGGACAGTGAAAAGGGGCCATGGGATGACTTCGTTGATTTTGTTTACTTTTTCTTTACCTGCGCGAGAGGTCGCCCCGTGGCTAAGGAAAGAATGCACACAAACCAGTGGGCACCGATCCTAGGATCCCCGATAGGTTCCAAGAGCTTCTGGGTTTGCGTCGTCCCCTCCCCTTCCCGCATGTCTCCATCGGCTCCCGGGGCTCGACGGTCAATTGTGTCTGTGTGTGTGCGTTCCCCCTCCTGAACAAGAACATGCTGATGTGGTCCTCACAGCAGCGTGTCATTGCTACTTCTTATGCTACCCAAAATCTTGGCCGACGATTTACCGTCGTCGGTGCTCGTCGATTATTTCTTTGGGCCCCGGCTTCTCCGAGGTTGTATGACCTCGTCGTTTCTCGGCGGTTTTTTGCCAGTCTCGCGACATGCCGTCGCGGGGTCCAAGTCTTGAGGAGGGAGAGAGAATATATCAAAAACACGCCGCCGCACCCAGACCCCCTCGGGCAATGAACAAATCATGACGGGAGGCTTTCTGCTATTTTCGGCCCCGGGGGGCCCTTACCAGCCCTCGGGACCGTCGAAAAACGACCCAGGAGGAAAAACCGGTCCCGGGGAAGGGGTCGAGAACTCTGGCTCCGGGGGTCGACGTGATGAAAAAAACATGACGTCGGGGGTCTGGGTAAGGAGCCCGTCAGCGCTTCGGTGTCTGACGGCATGGCCTCTCTTCAGCAGTGACGCACTGATGGGCTCCCCTCGGCGGCGCGTCACTGACACCGTACAGTCAGAGCTGACGGTAATGATGAGCCATCGGGATGCAAGCCTCTTGGACGCGCATGTCGAAGCTCTTTGAGCGGGGCTGGCAGTCGAAAGGGGTAAAGAGAGAGGACCGAGGAGGCAAGGATGCAAGGGTACCCCTGGGAGGGTGTCACGTCCTTGCTATCGAGTTTGCCTGCAGGGCCTCCTCAAGCCTGCGGGGAGCTTCAGAGAGGCCCGTGCGAGGACCCACGCGGGACCCACGAGGGGGCCGGCTCTCCAAGAGCAGAGGGCAGACGTGCCACCATCGTGAGGGGCACCTCTGCAAGGGAAGCGCCCCTTGGTAAACGCACCTGCGGAGGGAACCGGAAGGGGCAGGACTGCGCCCTCCCTCCCCCTCCCCCTCGTCCTCCTCCTCCTCCTCCTCCTCCTCCTCCTCCTCCTCCTCCTCCTCCTCCTCCTGCTCCTGCTCCTCCTCCTCCCGCCCCCCTCCCGCTCTCCCTTCCTCTGTCCCTGCCCGCCAGGGGGGCGCTTAAGGTTACCTGCGCCGCGCGGCCCTCCCGAGGCCCCGGTCACGGGCCCTTCGCCCGCAAACTGCTGGAGGCTCTGGGAGAAGCTGCGCTTATGCCGGCGGGTGTGGATACCCATCGGTCGGAGGAAGCAGGCAGGAAACATGCAGTAGGAAGGCGGATAAAGTAGATTGGGTTCGGGCCCGCCCAGAAAATAACACAACGGCGGCGGCGGCGGCGGCGGCAGCGGTGGCGGCAGCGGCTGCGGCGATTCGGCAGCGGGGGCGACGGCGGCGGCGGCGGCAGCGGCGGCGGGCGGCGCGGCGGCGGCGGCGGGCGGCGGCGGCGGCAGAGGCGGCGGCGGCGGATTCGCCCCCAGTAGCTGCCCATCCAAAGACGACTGCTGAATATGCTGCGGCTCGGGCCAGGCTCGGGTGCTACGTATGTGTTGGGAGGGCGGGTGGGAGTGAGCGAGACGGCTTGCGTGCGGGGAAGGGGGCTCTTGACCCCTCCCCCTACCCCCTCCGCATGGACCTGGAGGGGGGGGGTCGCGAGTCGTCAGGGCGTCCAAAACGGCCTCGGCGAGAGAGCCAAAATCATTGGTTTTACTATGGTGTTGGCCCCATGTTGGCCTCCTGGGGGGGACCCTAATTGACGCTCCCCCCTTGTTTGATCGATCTCATCCAAGATGACCCCACGAAGCGCCCAGGAGGCCCCACGAGGTCCCAAGATGGCCCCAAGAGGCAACCAAGAGGCCCCTCAGGAGGCCCCCAAGAGACCCCCAGGAGGCCCCAAGAGACCCCCCAGGGGCACCAAAGATGCTCCAAGAGGCCTCGGCGAGAATGCCAAAACAGCCTCGGCGAGGAAGCCAACATCATTTGTGCTACTATGGTTGTGGCCCCATTTTGGCCTCCTGGGTGGGGAGGCTAATTACTGCTCCCCTCTTGTTTGATCGGTCTCCTCCAAGATGGCCCCAAGAAGCGCCCAGGAGGCCCCAAGAGGTCCCAACATGGCCCAAAGATGGCCCCAAGAGGCCCCCAAGAGGCCCCCAAGAGGCCCCCAGGAGGCCCCCAAGAGATCCCCAGGAGGCCCCAAGAGACCCCCCAGGGGCACCCAAGATGCTCCAAGAGGCCTCGGCGAGAATGCCAAAACGGCCTCGGCGAGTAGGCCAAACTCATTGGTGTTACTATGGTGTTGGCCCCAGTTTGGCCTCCTGAGGGGAGGGACGCAAATTACTGCTCCCCTCTTGTTTGATCGATATCCCCCAAGATGGCCCCACGAAGCGCCCAGGAGGCCCCAAGAGGTCCCAAGATGGCCCCAAGAGGCAACCAAGAGGCCCCCAGGAGGCCCCCAAGAGACCCCCAGGAGGCCCCAAGAGACCCCCCAGGGGCACCAAAGATGCTCCAAGAGGCCTCGGCGAGAATGCCAAAACAGCCTCGGCGAGGAAGCCAACATCATTTGTGCTACTATGGTTGTGGCCCCATTTTGGCCTCCTGGGTGGGGACGCTAATTACTGCTCCCCTCTTGTTTGATCGGTCTCCTCCAAGATGGCCCCAAGAAGCGCCCAGGAGGCCCCAAGAGGTCCCAACATGGCCCAAAGATGGCCCCAAGAGGCCCCCAAGAGGGCCCCAGGAGGCCCCCAAGAGATCCCCAGGAGGCCCCAAGAGACCCCCCAGGGGCACCCAAGATGCTCCAAGAGGCCTCGGCGAGAATGCCAAAACGGCCTCGGCGAGCAGGCCAAACTCATTGGTGTTACTATGGTGTTGGCCCCAGTTTGGCCTCCTGAGGGGAGGGACGCAAATTACTGCTCCCCTCTTGTTTGATCGATATCCCCCAAGATGGCCCCAAGAAGCGCCCAGGAGGCCCCAAGAGGTCCCAAGATGGCCCCAAGATGGCCCCTAGGAGGCCCCCAAGAGGCCCCCAGGAGGCCCCCAGGAGACCCCCAAGAGGCCCCGAGAGACCCCCCAGGGGCACCCAAGATGCTCTAAGAGGCCTCGGCGATACTGCCAAAACGGCCTCGGCGAGGAAGCCAAAATCATTGGTTTTACTATGGTTTTGGCCCCATTTTGGCCTCCAGGGGGGGGACGCAAATTAATGCTCCCCTCTTGTTTGATCGATATCCCCCAAGATGGCCCCAAGAAGCGCCCAGGAGGCCCCAAGAGGTCTCAAGATGGCCCCAAGATGGCCCCACGAGGCCCCCAAGAGGCCCCCAGGAGGCCCCCAAGAGACCCCCAAGAGGCCCCGAGAGACCCCCCAGGGGCACCCAAGATGCTCCAAGAGGCCTCGGCGAGAATGCCAAATCATTGATTTCACGAAGGCTTTAGCCACATGTTGGCCTCTTGGGGGGAGCACTGATTAAGACGACTCCAAGAACGCCTGGGAGAGCCCAAGATGACCTCGAAGATGGCTCAAGATATCCCAAGATGTCTCATAATGGCTTCCTCTGTGTGCTGCCCACTTCCCTGATCCAGGCAATTCCTCTGGGCATCGTTTCTGGATAGGCTGGTGGGGATTCGCGAAGCGTCTACAATTTGGAACAAATTATCAGGATATTTTGGATTTTGGGCGGAGTTGTACTGACGACGCCGAAAGACGAAGCCGAACCCCCTTCAAAGCATAGTAATCCCGAAACCATGCCGAGCATGCCCACGCTGGCGACACTGCGCCCCTCGATCCTCGAGCCTCGACGAGGCCGACGCCGCCGAACCTCGACGAGCACGGCGCCGACGCCGACGCCGCAGACGCCAGCGTCGACGGCACAAACGACAACCACGCGGACGGCAACGACGATGACGACGGCCACGTGTGCGGTGGCAGCACCGACGCCGCCGCCGACGCCAACGACGGAGACGATGCCGACGCTGGCCAGGCTGCACGCAGAAGCAGCCCTGGGCAAGCATGACCTCCGCTGCGCGGCTTCAGCGGGGCCGCGGGGGGTGCCCGAGCCCAGGCGCGCCGGCCCAGTGCCGTGGAGGCCCGTGTGGGCCCGCACCAGAGGTCTCTCCTGCTCGAACCGTCCGCGAGGAGCGGCGCCCGATGATCTCCGTGCAGGTAAGACGAAGCCAGGACCGGGACAGCACCGCATCGGGAGCCATCGGGGGGGTCTCTGAGATCCAGCGGTTCTAGGGAGCAAGCAAGCCTACCTCGCTTTTGACCACCCTCGCTTCCAAGAAGTACCAAGCGAGGCCAAACTACGGCCTGTACTGGTCAGGCCGCTTGACGAGGAGGCGCGTGGTATGACTTGGTTTTGCCTGGAAGCGGAAGCGGGGTAGGTACTTCACGCTCTGAGGCTCTGCAGGATGAGGCTCGGAGCAGGGCGAGTTGAGACTGCGGCAACTCAAAATCGGTCCCGGGGTCCAGACGCACCTGTTCTACAAGGCGCGCTCGGCCGTGACGGCGAGGCGGCCCCTGGAAGGAGAGCGCTGCCCTTGTCTCAACTCGCCCTCCTCTGAGTGGCAAGCGCCGCGGCCTGAACCACTCATCCTTGCCATGGCCCCGCCCGAAAAGTTGTCCAGAGTTATGCTGGTCCCTTCGTCCTTAAGGACCACATCCCAGAAACAAGGGCGAGCTCCCAAAGAAAGCCGACAACATGCCCGACGAGTACCGCCTCCCAGGGCCCGACACGTGGCAACCTCCAGTTTTGATACTCTTTGGTGATCAAGGCTGGAGTAGGTTGGAACATCCGAAGACCATCGGCTACACGCAAGAGTGACCCTAGGTAAGGGTAACCTTTGGTGCGCGGCTTCTGGAGGCCGCGGGGTGGCCAAACACAGGCGCGCAAGACGCCACTGCCGCCTCGAGATCAGCGATAGGGTGGCCCCGTTGGGCCCGCACCAGGTCACTCCAGCGAAAGGTCACTCTTACCCATCGGACGGAAGAAGTAGGTAGAAACATGAAGTAGGAAGGCGTTGGAAATAGATTGGGTTTCCGCCCGCCTCCTGAAGAGGAAGGAAGAGGGAAAAGCACTCGACTCTTGAAGTAGGAAGGCGCTGAACGTAGATTGTAATCTGGGGATCCCAAAACTACCTACTTTCAACGACCGATGGGTACGTCTCGTCGAGACCCAGAGCACCAAGATGCAGCACAGACAGATCCCGCCGGAGCTCCGCGCGGGCTCCTCGCACCAGCGGCGCCGGGCCCGCCTCCCCCGGGGCGCGCGGAGCGCGCCCGGGCCGCGGCCCGCGCTCGGAGGTGCCGCCGCATTCAAGGGGCCCGAGACCCGAGCGCGTCGATGCGAGCACTCCGCATGCGGGGAGCTCCGAGAGGTGCTCTCTGCGCTGCTCCGCGCTCCACGCGGAGGGCCACGCGCCTTTTGCCCGCGGCGGGCCTCCTCGCCTCTTCCAACTGAAGATGCCTCCCCTTGCCGTCGCTCGGACGTCCATTTCCCATGCGTTTGTCGGTTTCGTGCGTGATTTTTCTTTGCTCGATGGTCCAGGATGGTCCTGGATGGTTCTCGCCGAGAAAAAATGCACACGTCCGAGCGATGCCAGGTCCCCGAATGAACGGAGGCCAGTGGCGGAAGGGCGACCATCCCCAGAGCCGCCCAGAGAAACATCTGCGGCGGCTCACGGGCGCCTCCGAAGCCATTCTCGGGGGTCGCTGAAGGTACTTCTGGCCCAAGGTGCCCCCAGCTTTTCGCTCCATTTTGGAGCCCCTGGGCCCTCTGGGCCTTGTGAGGGGTGCTCTGGAGGCCATGGGGGCCATGGGGACCTCCTTGGAAATCCTGGGGGCACCTTGGGCCAGGGGCACTTCTAGCAACACCCGAGCCATCTTGCTGGACCCCCTCCCAGGGACCGGTGCCTCATCCCGAATCGTTGTGTTGACGGTCCCGAGGCCCGGTAAGGGCCCCCAGAGGTTGAAACTAGCGACAAACGCCCCGACGCCACTTTTCCACGGCACGACGGGGTCTGCAGAGTCTGCAAGTCTCTTCCTCTTGAGCCCCGACGTCATGATTTTTTCATGACGCGACCCCCAGAAGTCTGGACCCGCTCCCCGGGACCGGTTTTCCACCCTGAGCCGTTCTCTCACGGCCCCGAGACCCGGTGAGGACCTCCAGAGGGCGAAAATAGCGAAACACCTCCCGTCGCGATTTTTTCACGACGCGATGGGGTCTCTTCCTCCTGAGCCCCGGCCGCGCGGGGGGACGTCGGCGGCGCGGGCCGGCCGGCGCCGGCCGGGCGGCCGCAGCACTGCCCCCGGGCCTCCTCCTCGGGCCAGGGCTGGAACCAGGCCCGCGGCTCCAGGGGGCGGCCTCCCCCGGCCAGCACCGCGGGGACCTCTCGCCGGGGGGTCCTCCTCCTCCTCCTCCTCCTCCTTCTCCTCCTCCTCCTCCTCCTCCTCCTCCTCCTCCTCCGCCGTCTCCGACGCCGTCGCCGTCGCCGTCGCCGTCGCCGTCGCCGTCGCCGTCGTCGTCGTCGCCGCCGTCGTCGTCGCCGTCGCCGTCGTCGTCGTCGTCGTCGCCGTCGCCGTCGTCGTCGTCGTCGTCGCCGTCGCCGTCGTCGTCGTCGTCGTCGTCGTCGTCGTTATCGTCGTCGTCGGCGTCGGTCGTCCTCCACCCTCCTTGGTCTCGAGGGAGGGTCGAGAAAAGACCGAGGATCGACGTTGACGTCATCGCCGTGAAGCCTGGTGGCTCAAGGGGCGTTTCTGGACGATCCCGCCGCCGGCTGGACGGCGACGGGACAGGGGAGGAGGAGGAGGAGGAGGAGGAGGAGGAGGAGGAGGAGGAGGAGGACGAGAAGGAGGAGGAGGACGAGAAGGAGGAGGAGGAGGAGGACGAGGAGGAGGAGCACAAATCGCACGCACAAAATTTGGCTCTCGCCTCGGAGCCGCGCACACTCGCCTTGAGAGCTTCCGACGGGTACACGGACGGAGGGCGGGTTGTTTTTTCCAGAATGTGACTCCTCTCGCCCGATGCGGGCGGGCCGGTGTCAGAACGTAGTCTTGCGCGACACCGAAAGGAGGAGGAGGAGGAGGAGGAGGAGGAGGAGGAGGAGGAGGAGGAGGAGGAGGAGGAGGAGGAGGGAGGAGGAGGAGGAGGAGGAGGAGGAGGGAGGAGAGGAGGAGGAGGAGGAGGAGGAGGAGGAGGAGCACAAGGAGGACGAGGAGGAGGAGAGGAGGAGGGGGAAGAGGAGGAGGAGGACGAGGGGGTTGAGGCAATTCGCCTTCAGGGTGGAGCTGATCCCCGACACAACCGGATCATCTCGGGCCCATGGGGGAGGCGCGCTCGTTTGTCGAAGGGGGGCGCTTTTTTCGCGCATATGGAGCCATAGTGTTTCTGGGGGTGAAGAAGGAGGGGGCTCTTGAGACGGGAGGGCAGAGTACAGCATCGTCGACACGTATATCTGGCCTGCTCTGGTCCTTTTCCCCCTCCTCGTCCTCCTCCTCCTCCTCCTGCTCCTCCTCCTGGTTCAAGTCGGCTCCGCCGGCTTGAGCGGTACTCATCTTGGCTCGAGCTCGGCCTTGCCATGCTTGCCCAAACACCGCTCACGTGCAAACCTCTCGTGCATGAAGTCCTGCAGCAGCAGGCATCCGGCTTGGAGGTCACGCTGAAGCAGATGGAGCCGCAGTGTGCTGCCAACTGTGCGGCCCTCGGCTTGTCGCGCAGCTCGCGCAGGCGTGCGCGCACCCGCGCCACGCATGCTCTCCACGTCCAGCGGGCGCGCTGCCGCCTGATGGAGTTCCTGGCGCTCGGCGCCCCACCAGGCCTGCAGGAGTGGGCCATCATGGAGACCAACAACACGGTGCTGGCGGCGCTGGATGTGGAGCAGCACGAGATTGGCAAGGAGCTGATCGCAGAGGCACCCTCGGAAGGATCCGCCATGTGGGCCATGGCTGAGAAGGACGAGGCGGCTGACCAAGTGCTGTACACGTCGGCGGGCGAGGAGCTGATGGAGCAGCTCGGCGAGGATCCCGAGGTCGTGGTCGAGAAGGACGTCGTCTCAGTAGCTGGCAAGATCACCACCGCGACGGCGATCGACTGCGGGAACCCTGCCCGCTCGAAAGAGGAGAACGTCGATTTCACAGAGGAGGGTACCCCCTTCCTGGAGAAGGACGACGACGGCGGCGGAGAGGAGCAGGAGGAGGCTGTGCAGTTCGGTCAGCCGAGCTCCTCGGACGCGGCGCAGACGACCGACACCAAGAAGGCAGTCGTCAACATGGCGCCCTCCGCCGAGAAGGTGCTCTACCCAGAGCCTGAGGTGTCAGGCTCTTTCTCTGAGACCGACGCTTAAGCTGAAGGCGGAGATACTGTCGAAGGCGCAATCGTCGGTTCCCAGCCCGAGCACGCTGAGATGCTGCTGGAGTAGCTGCTGGCGCCGATTTGGTGCCACATTGGACGTACAAAGGTGTCGACGGAAATTGGCGTGCGTTCGTGGATTATGACAGTTCGGAAACGAGGCAATTGAGCGTAGGTATCAGTTGCACATCGCGGAAAAGAAACATATCCAGAGAACGAGGTTCGCCTCTCGCCATCTGACAGTCAACTGTTGCACTATGTATCTGAAGTTCACTGACGCTTCCAGGAAACAGAAAATTCATAGAGCTCTGGTCCCCCTGGATCCGCAGCAGATTGGAAGCGATACGTAGCGTGTAAAAGGCCCCTTGAGGGTCGTCGGATTTCTCCCTTGGTCCGTGCAGCCGCGATGCTTCGCCTCTCGCTTGTGCGCGGATTCGTAATGAAAAGTCAGTCGCAGGTCGAGAGCCTTACAGGATGTGCTTCCCTGCGGTAGCTTGGCGGAGGCAACGGCCTTCGTCCCACTTCGATTCGAGTCGAGTCGAACCCCGAACCACCACAGCTGAGCGCTCGTCCTGCTCCTCCTCCTCCTCATCTTTCTCCTCTTTCTCCTCCTACTCCTCCTCCTCCTCTTCGTCCTCCTCCTCCTCCTTTTCCTTCTCGCACGTCAGAGCCCACTATGCAACAATATCACGGCATGCGCGTGGCGATAGAAGGGTGTACCAGGCGCGCCCGTGATGCAAACCGCCAGGAGAGATCTGCCGATGTGACTGGCGTGCCAAGACAGTAATTCTCCGTCGTCCTCCTCGTTGCCCCCGTCACCATTTCTGCTCCAGCTCCAACTCCTCGTCTCATGCTTCACCAAGCTCGACGCGCCAGCTGCCTGGGTACGCGGTACCGCGCAGCACCGCCGAGGTACGGAAGATGCCTACGCTGGACACGCAGCACTGGCGCGACGGCAATTAGCGGCGATGCGAGGCTCGTTCTTCCATACCCTCTGGGAATGCCGCTGCCTCCGAACATTACACTCAAAACCTGCACCCGCGTCGACAAAGGCTCGTGACTACGGGTAACTCTTGCCGCGCATGGATCCGAGCATTCTCCTCCTCACAAAGTGTCTCCCGAATATCACAAGGGGTCCAGTTGGACCACAATTCAGCGAGAAATCCAGCCAGCTGCGACGAGAAGCATCCCGGATGCCTTGAGGCTCCGAGAACCTCCATCCTCGAACCTCGATGCTCCTCCTTCTCCTCCTCCTCCTCTGCCCTCTCCCGCTCCTCCTGCTCCTCCCCATGCACGCCAATCAGCGAGTCCCAAGCATGCGCCGTCCTGCTCTCTGCAGCACGTGCTCCCCCGAAGCCCCGGTCCCTGCCCTGGGGCCGCTGCTCATCCCGAGCCGAGGTCTCCACGGCCCTGGGGCCACCCGCGAGGGCCGCTGGAGGCCGAGAACTCTCCCCAGCTCCTCCCGTGGCCTCTCTCTCCGCGACGCGAGGGGGAGAGACCGGAGACGCCTCGACCCAGGTCAGAGCTGATCCTGTCCCTCGCCATCGCTCGGACGTCCATTTCCCGTGCATTTTTCTATTTTTTTGCCCGACAATGATTCTCGCGCTCAATTTCTATCGTTTTTGCCCGATCATATTTGTTTCAATTTTTGTTGCTCGGACGTCTATTTCCCGTCCTCCATGGTTCTCGCCGAGAAAAAAAATGCACACGCCCGAGCGATGCCAGGGTTCAGTCAGGCCCTGCTCGCCGCCGACGTGCAGCCCTGGCTCTGCAGGGTCTGGGGAGAGGTCGCCGCTGCGAGGGGCGGGCGTGGGTCGCGCGGCTTCCCCCGCTGTGGCTGGTCGGTCTCGGCCACGGGCAAGCTCAGGCTGGGACACATCGGGGAGCTCGGAGATCCAGGAACACTCAGAGAGCGTTCCAGGACGCTCTCGACTCCAGGAGGAGGAGGAGGAGGAGGAGGAGGAGGAGGAGGAGGAGGAGGAGAGAGGAGGAGGAGGAGGAGGAGGAGGAGGAGATGGGGAGGAAGAGGATGCGGGGGAGGAGGATGTGAGGGGAGGGAAGGGAAGGAGGAGGGGCGAGAGGGAGGAGGAGGAATGGGAGGGAAGGACCTCTCTCACCTATCCTTAGATGGGACCCCTGAGTGCAAGCTCAGCCCCACCGAATGGGAGGGGAGGGGGAGGAGGAGGAGGAGGAGGAGGAGGAGGAGGAGGAGGAGGAGGAGGAGGAGGAGGAGGAGGAGGAGGGGAGGAGGAGGAGGAGGAGAAGGAGGAGAGGAGGGAGGAGGAAGGAGGAGGTGGTGGGATCCTGGTCCTCGGCCAGACCGAGGCCCCGCGGGGGGGGGGGGGGGGCAGGGCCCACCGCTCCCCCAGACGCGGCTGGGCCGAGAGAAGCCCGAGACCTTGGCCTCCCTCGCGCAGTGCATCTGGCAGCCCACGCTGGGGACGTCGCCGCTGCAGTCTGGGTCGGCGATCTTGCTGCGGGAGGCCGGCTGTTTTTTCTGCTTCGTCTTCTTCCTCCTCCTCCTCCTCCTCCTCCTCCTCCTCCTCCTCCTCCTCCTCCTCATCCTCTTCCTCCCCCCCCTACACCCCGCCTCCTCCTCCTTCCTGGGCCACTGCCTGCCGCCTCGTGGGTGCTGGGCCCTCTCTCCCGGGGCGCCTCCGCCAGAGGTCCGAGGAGGCCCGCCATGGAGGCCCGAGAGGCCGCCCAGCGTTGTCCAAAAGCTTTCGGCCCTCCATTCGCAGAAGGCATCTATATACCACCACCGTGCCAAGGCAGGGCCATCCTGAGCCCCAGGATGGTGTATACGCCCTCCTGGCCGAGGCCAAGAGGGTCTGTACACCATCCTGGGGCCCAGGATGGCCCTGGCCTGGCACGGTGGTGGTGTATAGATGCCTTCGTCGGACTCGACCGTCGAGGACCTGGCTTGTTTGTGCACGGCAAGCGGGGCTGCAGAAACCGAGAGACGGGGGCCATTGTGCAAGCAGGTTGCGAAGGGGCCCTGGGACACACAAATAAAGACACACAGATAACCGGATCCCCCAGATGTTCCCATAGTTTCTGGGTTGTTGTCTTTCCCCCCACTTCCCATATTTTGGAATATTTTCCTGTGAATCGACGATTAATTGTGTCCGTGTGTTTCGTTTCCTCCTGAGGTTGGAAAACCCGTCGCGGGACCCAGCCGCATGGAGGCGGCGCAGGCATGGTGCAAGACAACAATGTCAGGATGGTCATGTTGCACTGCATGCTGGCACGAGGGGAGATCGAACGAGGAGGAAGAGAAGGAGATCGAGACCAGCATCAACAACTCGTGGCTGGCACCCGTCCCAGTCAGCCAAACACCACCAGCCATGGTCGGCAACCAGCCGGATCCAGCCCACTGGAGCATATCATCATATGATCATGATCACAGCGGCGACGAGGCCAGCTGTTGCAGGTTGAGGTGCCGATCAACTGGCCCAACTGTTGTTCGCCAATGCATGGGTTCTGACACTGGCGAGTCTGGGCCCCTGCTTCTTTCGAACAAACGGCCCGAGGCTCAAGGCAAAACTGACGACGTTGTGTCCACCGCCTGATAGAAAGATCGGACTGCACCAGACCAATCCTAACCATGTGCCTCTCAGAAGATATGCCTCTAAATCTGCTGGTTACAATGCCACCGATGGATGCCCTTCGAGTCGTAAGCATGCCCAACTCATTCATCAATTCCAGAAGCTGCGCTCTGGTATCATTAGACATGGCCACGTGCGTTCTCTCCGATGCGCAGCTTCAACCCACGCAGGCTCGCACTCAAGTCGTGCAACATGTCTGACGAATGCCAGCATGTACTTCGGAAACCAAATGGTACCGATACGCTACTCCTGGATCTCTCCTGGGGTACGTATCTGACCTGAATGTCGACGTGATTCCAGCGGTGGCGACGAGGGCCTCCCAGGAGGCGCAAAACGGGGAACACGAGGCAAGCGTAGCAGGATAGGTACATATTCCTCCTCCGATGCGCTCTGGCAATTGAACGCGTGCCCCACGACAAGCTCCACTGCCAGCACCGCCGAGAGGACCAGTCACGGAGCGAAGGCCGTGGCGCTCGCGAGCAGAACGGAACCGCTCCACCCCGGGAGCCGCCCCGGCAGCGCTCGCGAGCAGGTGCGCCCCCATGGACCAGAGAGAAGCCAGCAGCTGCGTACTACAGTCAGCGCGCACACAGTCAACCCGTATAATAAGGACGCAAGGGCCTTTGGAAGCCATGTCGACACTCTGCGGGCGGGGCATCGCAAGCGAAAGCGGCCAAGGATGGGCCGAAGGGGAAGGATGCGAGGGTTACCCAGGAAAGTCGCTCATCCTTACTGTGCGCTGTGGCTGTGCACAGACGCCGCCCCCCGTCCTTTCTCTCTGGGACGAGGGGGAACGGCAGGGGAGGGAACCAGCTCCAAGGGGATAAGCGTGGGCAAGATGCACACCCATATCCACTACACCCAGGAGTTTCGGACTCCCTTCCCCAGACACCCGCAGCGCGGTGCACATGGAAAAAAGTCGGGCCCCTGGAGGCCTGGCGTTTTTATCCTTATTCACTTCGCCTCGGCCTTTTGGCGCCACTTCCCCAACAGTCCGAGACGCAGTGGATATGCATGTGCAATCTCGCCCACAATAATCTTCGAGCCTGAAGGCCCCCGATGGCAGAGTGGGCCGCAGAAACGATCGGCGATAAATTGGGAATTCGAGGCCGATGTATCCCACCTTCTTGACCCTATCCCCCCGGACCAAGGGAGCACCTTGAGCACATATAGCGGATAGTTCGGGGCATCTGAACCCCTCCTTGGGGAGACACTCGCAGTGGCGTGCGAAGGAGGACGCTTGGCGGCGCGCAGGGGGGGGGGGGGGAGGGGGGAAGGCTTCTTAGAAGGGAGCTGCTTTTTAGAAGACCCGGACCCTACATCTACAGAGAAGGCCCGCGCCCTCTAGGAAGCAGGAGTGCCTCTAAGAAGCTTTCCCCCCCCCTCTACCCCCCTCTGCGCGTGGCCGATGAATCCTCGAGGGCGGCGGGGAAGCCAAAAGGCACCCATACCGCTACTCCCCGGACCTCTCCCAAGGGTGCGTTCTAACTGGGATCTCGAGGCGCACCCGGCGGTGGCGACGAGGGCCTCCAGGGAGGCCCGAAAATTGAGCAGGGACCGACCGTCCCGACATTCCTTTAGTCCTGCCACGAACTGTTCTTGGAACCCTAGATGTTCTAAGAACAACAGCAGTGTTCTTGGATCATAATTACACCCGACGTGATCAAACAAGACAGTCCCGGCCAGAGATGTTCGCAGAACATTTTTCGTGGGAGCCACAAAAGGCTCCTCAGAACAACGTTTGGCAGGCCTGTATCGGCGGTGGACAAACCTCCCTTTAGTAAACCTCCCCTTAGTGAAAACGGCCTGGGACCGAAACCGACGGACCTGGACCCGCAAAAGTGACGGCCGCGACGCCCTCTCGCGAACCGAACACGGCCAATTCTTCAATCGACGTGTCAGGGTAGGAGGTCTGTCCACCTCCGAAGTTTTCGTGGGAGCCACAAAAGGCTTCTCAGAACATCGTTTGGCAGGCCTGTGGGCACGTCAGGATTATGTCGGGCCTGTCCCCCTACAGGGGAATTCTCGACGAAACATAAAACATACTCCAAACATACCCCAAGAAGGTCAAAAAATAGCAACAAAAAAACAGACTATGTTTGGACTATGTTTTGACTATTTCGGTGATATTTTTCATTCTATTCGAAAATCCCCCTGTAGGGGGACAGGCCCGACTGAACGCTGGGACGCTCCGCCGCTGCCTGACCAGGGCGGGGCCCGGGCCTCGGAGTCGCTCGGTGGCCAGCGGCGGGCCGGCGGGCCTCCAACTCCTCCTCCTCCTCCTCCTCCTCCTCCTGCTCTGGAAAGGGGGCTCCTCGGCGATTCAAGCAGACAAGTTCCTCGACGATCTGTTTATGCAATGGCTCTTCGATTCAAGCTGACACTTCTACAGAAAGTGAACTGGTGTTTAGATCCTGCCACAACTCAACTTGTGTCTAAAATTGCTGCGGTGAGCGGCGCAGGGAAGAGAGCGCCGGCACACACACGCAGCCACCTACCGCCCCAACCAACCTCCATGGAAGCCATATTCAGTGCGAAAAATCTCATTCAAATTATTGATTTTTCGGGCCCTGTCCGGAGCCATCCGCCCCCGAAGAGATGGCAGATAGCTCCGCCAGGCCACCCTCACGGGGGAAACCTGCAAGCCCGATTCGCCCAGCATTCGCTGGAAAAAAGGGTTGGAATTGAAAACGCTAACTGCTTTAGCGATTAGTTTACACCAGTGGGGGTGAAACGGAAGAATCAACCACACTGGGGTGCAAGTCTCCCTTGGGCGCGGGGGGCTCCTGGGAAAAATACCCTCCAACAGAGATGAATTGAAGCATGCGTTGGTGAGCCGATTTCTGAATTCAAGTTTGACGTCCTTCTCCTGGCTGGTGTGGCTGCAAAATGCTAGCATGGTCTGGAGCATGGCCCTGGGCCAGGACCGGTGCACAGACCACGGGTGCGCACTCGTTGACGCCAGTGGGATCGTCAAAGTTGTGATCTTAAACGCTGGCTTTACAGAAAAAGCTCCTCCTGCGATGCAAACCGACAGTTGGAGCCAATGCGACTCCTTGACATGCCCTTCGTCCAAAACCAAACGGAAATATCTGGATCGGTGTTGCATGATACGAAGAAAGGCACTGAACTTTGCAAAGTCACGATATGCAATCAAAATGTCGTCCTTGAACCTCATGTAAACAGATACCTGGAAATGCATGCGTACATATTGCGAGCACGCCCAGGATTCTAAACGGTTTGCAAGGGCCACATCTGCCACTTCCCCAGAATGGATCAATCCCATGCCAGAGCCCACAACGACTTGGTGCCTGTGGTTTGGCCAGTGTGGTGATGACACGTACTGATGCGCAAGTAGTAACTGCAAAGCACGCTGAACGAGTGCTTTCTGAGCGCCTGTCATGTGAGACGTCGCATCCTGTATTAACTCGTCCATGGACCCAGACATGAAGTAGTCCTTGATGTCAATTTTCGCCAAGCGGGTGCCTGGCGCAGCGTGGCGGCCACGAAGATGCCGCGCAGCATCGACAGCATCGCGGACCAACCAGGGCAGATCGGAAAGATGTCTTCGAAGAACTCCCGATACCCACTTGGATAGCCCAGCGAAGGAATACTGTGCGCTACAATGCAATGCCCGGAACGTCACTGGATTCTTGTGGGTCTTGCACGTCTTGGCAAGACGAGCTGTTAGAGAAGCTCCTTTGATGTACATGCTGCGGATGATCTGCCCCGAAAGCCCCTCTACCCCCTCGTAGTCCTCGATGTCTCTTGCCACGCGAGCGTACTTTTTCCAGACATGGGTGAAATCGACATCGAACTCATCCAAGCTTTTGTACACGTCTGTGGTGAGTATGCCGAGGTCAATGCGCCTGTCGTCCATGAGCCGGACGAGCGTGAAGCCGACCTCCTTGTCGTTCGGCACAGCCACCATGTTGGTGCGGCGCAGCAACGAGAAGGCCAGCTTGACCAGGGGCAACGTGTTGGTTGGTCTGCTTCGGTGGCTAAGCTGCGACTTGCTTGCCGCTGCCGCCACGGCCTTGCGGAGGCCGTAGATCCAACAGTCCAGAGAGGGAGTGGACATCTTGTTGAATTCGGGGGTCTTCGATCCTTTCAGCTTGATGTACGCAGAATCACGGCGACTGCCATGGAACCATCTCCATTTGAATTTGTTGGCAAAGGTGCGAAGGTCATCAGCCAGCAGCTGATGATTCGGCATGGCTTGAGAAGCAAATATGAATTTAGGATTGAACGTGCTCAATAGCCAGAGGACTGGCCAGGGAACGTCGACGGCGTCGCGGAGCACTCCAGCAGGATGCTCGAACACCTTGACGCGCCCCGCCACTGAAGAATACCGCATTAACGATATCCATGTGGCCACGTTTGCCCCAGACAACAAGCGCAAGATCATGCGAGTCTGGGCCGAAGAGCTCCTCACTTCTTTCCGCGCTTTCCTTTGCCTTTCTTGCCATAGCCTTTGCCTTTCCCACCTTTTGGCTTGCCTTTGCCCTTCCCCCTGCCCGCGCCCTGTGGTTTGGGCGGCGTGCTGCGGGAAGCTGTCTGTTGCTTCCCCCGGGCTCCCCCGGGGGGTCCGCCGTTTTTTGCCAAGGCTTCGACGAACTTGGCTGTGTGTTCGTGGCCGGCGGTTGCACCGCCTGTCCCGGGAAGGTCTTCCACGACCATCGAGTCCTGGGCCGCCATTGCCTTCTGAACTGCAGCCTCCGCGATGTGTTCCACAGCGTTCTGGAAGAGGGACTCCGGCTTGGTCTGCAAAAGTTGCTGCTCCTTCTGCTCTTCGGCTCGCCGGTGTTTTTCGAGCGCGTCCCGCTTGCTGGCTTCAGTTTTCTCCACTTTCAGCACGGCCCGGCGGTAGAGCTCCTCCACCTTCTCGGCCCGCATCTCAGGGCTGACCTGCTTCATGAGGGGCTCCTCCAGGCCTAAATCTGAAGCTTGAGACGAACAAGCTTTGTCCATGATGTCTTCGCACGTCTTGGCAAAGACGCTCTTCTTGGACATTTCTGCTGCGTTAGCGGAGGAAGACTCCAGAGCCTCCACGTCGATGGCCCTCAACTCATGAGCGACCCATCTGTGCAAGGCAGCTTTAGCTTCTCTGCGGGTAAACCCCTTGGGAATCGTACATAACTGACCGGACGGCAACGCAACAGACACGTCCGTCGATGCAGCTGTGCTCCAAGGAGCGTCCAATTCCACGTGGTGGGCTGGGCTTTTGAATGGCCTCATCCCGTTGGGGTAAGACCCTTGAGCGAGAAGCTTGACGTCTTCAACTGCCTTTGCATGCATTGCCTTCGCCTTCACTGATTTACCCAAATTCTGCTCGAAATCGTACGTCACCTTATCCAAACTCTTGTTCAAAGAAGCTGGGAAACTCTTGAAGAATGTATTACTGCCAACGTTGCCCTGTGCTGCCTCTGGCGTGGCGGTGCCTCCAGTTGCACCTCCCACATCCCGATGAGAAGCAACTTGCAGAATGGCCTGCTGGAGGGCCTGGAAGTTCTGCTGATTTTGCTCGTTCATGGTGTGGAATGCTGCGATGAAAGCTTCGTTCTGCCTCGTCTGGGCCGCCACCTGCTCCCGGAACGTCTCGAGAATGGTCTGGACGGACTCCGGGGGGGGCGGCGGCGGCCGCGGTGGTTGCCGCGGCGACTGGCCAGCGGCCTGCCTGCCTTGCGTCGCATCGCTCGGGTGGGCCCCTTTGGGAACCTTCGGTGGCCCCTCATCAATCGACGCGATGGCTCGAGCTGCACTGGGTTGGGAACTGCTGCCGACACCGGGAGAATGCATGATAGACTCACTCTGGAAAGGGGGCTCCTCGGCGATTCAAGCAGACAAGTTCCTCGACGATCTGTTTATGCAATGGCTCTTCGATTCAAGCTGACACTTCTACAGAAAGTGAACTGGTGTTTAGATCCTGCCACAACTCAACTTGTGTCTAAAATTGCTGCGGTGAGCGGCGCAGGGAAGAGAGCGCCGGCACACACACGCGCGCACACACACGCGCGCGCACACACACGCGCGCGCACACACACGCGCGCACACACACGCGCGCGCACACACACGCGCGCACACACACGCGCGCGCACACACACGCGCGCGCACACACACGCGCGCGCACACACACGCGCGCACACACACGCGGACCCGGACCCTACATCTACAGAGAAGGCCCGCGCCCTCTAGGAAGCAGGAGTGCCTCTAAGAAGCTTTCCCCCCCCCTCTACCCCCCTCTGCGCGTGGCCGATGAATCCTCGAGGGCGGCGGGGAAGCCAAAAGGCACCCATACCGCTACTCCCCGGACCTCTCCCAAGGGTGCGTTCTAACTGGGATCTCGAGGCGCACCCGGCGGTGGCGACGAGGGCCTCCAGGGAGGCCCGAAAATTGAGCAGGGACCGACCGTCCCGACATTCCTATAGTCCTGCCACGAACTGTTCTTGGAACCCTAGATGTTCTAAGAACAACAGCAGTGTTCTTGGATCATAATTACACCCGACGTGATCAAACAAGACAGTCCCGGCCAGAGATGTTCGCAGAACATTTTTCGTGGGAGCCACAAAAGGCTCCTCAGAACAACGTTTGGCAGGCCTGTATCGGCGGTGGACAAACCTCCCTTTAGTAAACCTCCCCTTAGTGAAAACGGCCTGGGACCGAAACCGACGGACCTGGACCCGCAAAAGTGACGGCCGCGACGCCCTCTCGCGAACCGAACACGGCCAATTCTTCAATCGACGTGTCAGGGTAGGAGGTCTGTCCACCTCCGAAGTTTTCGTGGGAGCCACAAAAGGCTTCTCAGAACATCGTTTGGCAGGCCTGTGGGCACGTCAGGATTATGTCGGGCCTGTCCCCCTACAGGGGAATTCTCGACGAAACATAAAACATACTCCAAACATACCCCAAGAAGGTCAAAAAATAGCAACAAAAAAACAGACTATGTTTGGACTATGTTTTGACTATTTCGGTGATATTTTTCATTCTATTCGAAAATCCCCCTGTAGGGGGACAGGCCCGACTGAACGCTGGGACGCTCCGCCGCTGCCTGACCAGGGCGGGGCCCGGGCCTCGGAGTCGCTCGGTGGCCAGCGGCGGGCCGGCGGGCCTCCAACTCCTCCTCCTCCTCCTCCTCCTCCTCCTCCTGCTCCTCCTCCTCCTTCTCCTGCTCCTCCTCCTCCTTTTCCTGCTCCTCCTCCTCCTCCTGCTCCTCCTCCTCCTCCTGCTCCTCCTCCTCCTCCTCCTCCCTCCCTCTTCCTCTTCCTCTTCCTCTTCCTCTTCCTCTTCATCCTCCTCGTCCACCTCCTCCTCCTCCTTCTCCTCGTCCCCCTCATTGTCCTCCTCCTCCTCCTCCTCCTCCTCATCTTCCTCCTCCTCCTTCTCATCCCCATCCGCCTCCTCCGCGAAAGGACACAAGACCCTTCCGAGGGCCACCTTGCAGTAGGAATTCAGAAGGCATTGGTCGCGAGACACAGGACACAATGGTAGCCTTGATTTGGCAGGGTCGACCTACTAATCAGCCACGACTGTGCGGCAGGTTCGTGTCGTGCCAACTTCGGCGTTGGCTTCTGACACCGCTGGGATCGTTGCCGTTTCCGAAACGTTGGATCATTCAACAATGGGCCACGGGCGGCGTGCAATGGCGTGCAGCCTGAAACGCCCGCGCTGGGGTCGCCGCCGGTCGACATGAAGCGACAGGATTGCTTGTCCAGCGAAATAAGCGGGGATGGGGAAGGGGGACATCAGACGAGAAGGACGGCGCGACGAAGCCTTGTGGTGCCGAGCTGAAGCATTGGGAAGTGGTGGGGACCCCCTGGGCGCGGACCGACACAAGTCATGTCGTCGGATGTCCGCGGCCGTGTCGGGGCGACTCGCGCGGTGGTGTCCGACGCCGCGCGGGTCGTTCCGGCTTGAACGCTCGCGGCATTCCGATCGCGCAGGACTTGTCGACATCGGCCGACTCCGTGCCGCAGGCGGCGTTTTCAACCTCGAGCGCCTGCGTTTGGGGTCAAAGCCGCGTCGACACGACACGGACCTGCAGTGCCTCAACGTGTAGCACCAAGCCACTGTCATTCGGCCAGCGGCATGTAATGGTCTCTGGCTCGCCAGGGCCCCCACATCACGAACGGTCCGAGCAGCGCGTCCGTTCCCTGATAGAGGCAGCTCGGTGAAAGAGCGGTCCTTCCATCCTTGATGCAGCTGCAATCGCACCCCTCCTGACCGCCCTTGTCGACATTCCAGCCTTCGCCACCCGCGGCGGGCGCTGCTGGCGGCCTCGGAGCGGACCTCAGAGCGGAGGAGCGCGAGAGAGAGAGGGAGAGAGAAAGATAGAAGAGAGAAAGAGAGAGCAAAAAACAATGTCAACACACATATACGATGTGTATATATAGAGAGAGAGATAGAGAGAGAGAGAGACAGAGAGAGACAATATAATAAGAAACAACGCCATAGACATGAACTTTTGGCGCTCCGCGCGGATTTCTTGGATCCGCGCTGGGCCCCCCTCCCTGGCGCTCGGAGCGCGCCAGGGGGTGCGCCGGAGGCGCCGCCAGGGGGGACCCAGCGCGGATCCAAGAAATCTGCGCGGAGCGCCAAAAGTTTATGGCGCTTTTTTCTTCTTCGAAAGGAGAGAGACAGACAGAGGAGCAGGTGGGGGAAGCGGGAGAGGCATCGACCTGGAATCGGCGATTCACCGCCTACAGTTTGGCGACAGGCTCTGGACTGCCGATCCGCACGTTCCTGGGCGGCGCGGGCCATCAGGCCTCATGCCGTCGATCAGTGGGCGACTGGAGATCTGTGCCTCCCCCCTGAGCCTACTCCAGATTTCGTAATAAAGGGAGGGGGGTCTCATTTCAGGGGGGGGGTCTCTTCCAGTCTATCTTGGAGGGCCTGGGGGGTCTGGGGACGATGTTTTGGAGGGTTCTCCCACGGAGGTCTGAAATGGCTTGTCTTGGAGGGTCCAGACCCCCTCCCTTTTATTACGAAATCTGGAGTATCCCCCCCTATCGTTGTCCCCTGGCGGTGGGGCCGCAACCAAGGCCTCCAGCAGCCGCTCGCTGCGATCCCCGCAGCGCTCTCGCCGAGGGGCAGCTGCCGGGAACCCGCCCCCGGGCTTCGGAGACGGCAGAACAGCTTCGGCACACTTTTGAAGGGGCCCCAGGACACACACACACACACACACACATGAATGCACACAAAAAATAAAATGATTCCCAATATTTTCCCATATTTCTTGGTGTCCTGTCTTCCCCCCCACTTCCCATAGTTTCCCATATCTTCAGGGGAATCGACGATTGATTGTGTCTGTGTGTTTTTGTTCCCTCCTGACGTGCGTCGAGCAGCCCTGCGGCCGTCAGGCACGATCCAGGCACCCCTCCTGGAACGGTCTCGAGGAGGCCCAGCTGCTGGAGAGCATCCCGAGGCTGGACAGCCGCCGAGACGACGTCCGAAAGCCTCGCCCGCCTACAGGACGACTCTATCGCAGATCCCCTTGGGGGGGCGCGAGGAGCGCGGGAACGCAGGCGGCCTGAGCCTCTATCCCCTCCGCTAAGATTAGGTCGGCATGTCCTCCTACAGGGGGGCTTTAGACGAAAAATCATACATCGTCAACAAAATACAGCCAATAATCAATTATAGAAACAATCGTCCCCTGACTGTACTATTTTAGAATCTTCCTCCTGTAGAGAAAGAAGCCCGACTTAACGCTAAGACGATCCTCGTCACTCACGGTGACCCTGGTTGAGCAGGGACTAGCCGTCCTGGCATTCCGAATAGTCCTGCCACGAAATGTGCTTAGACTCCCAAACATGTTCTATGAACGAAAACAACGCTCGTAGAGCACAAACCCGATGTGTGAAAACAGCACAGTCTCAGCCAGACATGTTCGGAGCACATGTCGTGCAGACCACGAAGGGTCCGCAGAACTTTCTTTCGTGGACCTATGAAGCGAGCCAGGACGCCTCGCCACTGCTCGTCGGCGACTCCGAAGGGTATGGTTTGGACTGGGTGGGGCTTGCAATCGGCACCCCGTGGGGCACCCTGGAGGGTGGGCGGGTGCCTCCATGCAGCCCTCCGCCGCGCCGCTCCGCGGAGGCCCGACGAGGACAGTGCCGAGCCCCCCAGGCACCAGCGACGCCGGTCGCAAACCGCACCCCGGCGCAACACCACACCCTTGGTTCGGGTGTTGCTAGACGTACCCCTGGCCCAAGGTACCCCCTGCTTTCTCCATTTTTGGGCCCCTGGGGCCCTCTGGGCCTCGTCGGGGGTGCTCTGGAGGCCCTCTGGGCCACCCCGAGAATCCTGGGGGGCACCTTGGGCCAGGGGCACTTCTAGCAACACCCGATTGGTAGTCGCAAACCGCACCCCGGCGCAACCGCACCCCCCTGACCTTCCAGAGTGCCAGAAAATAGCACTCCAGACCTATAAACCTATCTGGGCTGCCTCAAACCTCGACAGGAATCAGGACGTCGACGTCCTGGTGCTATCTTTTAGCTCTCCTGAAAGGTCAGGGCCTTGGTAGTCGCGCCGAGCTCGACCTGGAAGCACCATCCCGCCGGCCCGCCCGGCTGGGGGCCCGGCGATATGACCGGGGGCCCGTGCGGCTGCGGCGGCAGGCTGTCTGCCTCGTCGGCCGCCTGGGGGCACGGAGTGGCGGGCGCGTGGGCGGCGGGGATGGCTTCCGAGAGCCGGCGCCGCCTGGGGTCCCGTGGGATGCTGGCGAGGAAGCAGGACTATCTGACCCAATGGGCCGAGTCCTGCGGCAAACTCGAGTCGTGTGGATCCCGGCGTCGGTTCCCGACCCCGCGGGGATCGTCCAACCTTAACGATCGGTTTCCGGAACGTCAGATCGTTCAGCATCGGCCGCTTCTGGGTCGCCAGCGGCGTTCAACGTTGAACGCCCGCGCTGGGGCAGCCGCTGGTCGACACGACACGAACCTACCATGACTACAGTGCGCCACTGCCTGAGCCGAGAGGGTGTTTGGTGAGAACGGAGATGCAAGGAGAAGCAACGGTGGGCACGGCGGGGCAAGCGGGAGGGCCATCAAGCCTGAATCCATGCCGAAAAACTGCTCCAGCGGAAGATGTCCAGAGGAGGAGGAGGACGAGGAGGAGGAGCTCTGGAGCACCATTTGACAGCACGCTGCTTCTTCCGAGCGACGCAGCGCGGAAACGGGGCCCGGCGAGACAACCCGCGGCCCTCCCGGATGTTTTTGTTCGCACACTGCTGCATCCGCCCGGGCCCGGGGAGGGCCTTCGGGGGCGGCCAAGAGGGGGGCCTCCAAAAGGTGGGGGCGCAAGTCATGGCCGGCGGCACGCGCGCGCGCGGCCCAGGGGGGGGCAGTGGACGTCTTGAAAGAAGAAAAGGCGCCATGAAAGCTGGGGAGGTATAGTGGCCCATGCCGTGAGATAATAAGATCTACCCCCGCATAGTCATTCTTGAGTAAATTGTGAGCACGTCTCCAGCGAGAGCGCGATTCCAGAGCGCCGGGAGAGCAATTCCTGAATAAATTATGAGGAAGTCCTAAGCGAGAGCGCGATTCCTCAATAAAATGCGAAGAAGTCTCGGGCGGGAGCGGGGGTCCTGGCCAAATTGTGAGGAAGTCTAAAGCGGGAACCGTTGTTGTTGTAACCGGGGGACCAAGGGCCGAGTTTGAGCATTAAGACTTCTCCTGTCAGTAAACAGGGTGCGAGCGTCGAGGGGCACGATTGAGAAAAAACAGTATGCACCGGCGGCGGGGGATCAACAATAATTATTCGTCAGAAATGAAATTCAACAACAACAACAACAACAACAACAACAACAACAACAACAACAACACCAACACCAACACCAACACCAACAACAACAACAACAACAACAACAACAACAATCACTTTACCCGAACGCTCAGTGTTCTCTCCAGTGCCAGGGTTTTCATGCGACGCCAGCCAATACCCCCTACCAAATATCCACACGACTCTTCGCCACCACCCACACCCAGCTTCCCGCCCTATGACGTTCGGACACTTCACTTCGTGGCCTGCGGACGACCGTGGC